AGCTTTTAAAGTCTGGGGTACTTACCTAAATCTTCACTTAGCTTCAGACCTCTTATAGTTCAATCATGTTTAATAGGCCTCAGGCCCATTAAATATAATTGTAACCATACAGCCTCTGCTTAGCAGTAAGTGGAAAAGAAAGGATGCCGCAAACTTTAATATTCACAAAGCCTGGTCTAGGCTGGCTTTTTACTGGAAGGCTGTGTCCAGTAAAAATCTGGGCTCAAAATGCAGAGAGATTGGGGAGTATTTGGAAAGAGTTCCCTAAAGCGCTTAGTGGTTCTGGTAATGGATAGTTGATGAAACTAACAATAAGGAATTGTTTTATAATAGGTGAAAAACAACTTTTATTGAAGAGAATAAGTGAAGATTTATTGTCTGAGAACTTCTTTTCCAATTTGGCTTTAGAAACTACTTTTTAACCTCTAAAATTAATTAGATTTGAAACTGAAAACCATATATAATTATATATTTTTTTCCTGCATATTGTAGAGCCATTCTCAGGAAGCTGAGGTGATTTACGTCCTTCTGTAACAATGTGAGATTAGAATAGCAATATTTTCTAAATGGTTTCTTTTCCTAACTCTGGAGTTCTAGTTCTGTGTACTAATCAGTTTTTTGTTGCCATGAGGAGACACTCATTTTTCCCCCATGACTTTAAAGTGATTGCCTAGCCTTCTTTTGGGCCTGTGGTAGGGTGAGACATCATAGTAGATTTATCTCCTGATAGCTGGACATTACCCAAATAACCTTGCTTCCATCCAGGAAGTTTCTATTTCCAAAAGTTTCCATCATATCTTAGCAGTGCCAAAGGCTAATGGTCAAGACTTGAGTATGTTGAGCCTTTTAGAGACACTTAACATTGAAACCATAACCTACTCATTGCCAAATATGCAGTCTTATGTCTGCTTAAAGAAAATGTTCAAAAAATATCCATATATGAGATGGAGTAAATTACAAAAGGCATTTCTGTCTTTTATGGCTGCATTAAAATGATTTATGTGTGAATCCAATACTGCTATAAGGACCAGACTCGTTGACTACAGACTACAAAAGAGCAAAAGCTAACTGCATTTACTGTAAGAACAGATAACAATGCTCTAAGATAGAATTTCATAGAAATTGATAAGCTCTGTTAGAAGAGGAACTTAAAATACAGAAGGAGAAGCAGTTTTTTCAAAAGTTGCTTAAGTTACTGGCCTGAGGAGACATAGGGAAAAGGTGACATTTGTCTTTGATGATAGCTGAGTCCCAGATCTTATGTTCCTGGTATTTTGTTACTGTCATCTGACTGCTCAGAGTTATTTTGGAAAGCAAGAACTTAGATTCTTTTCTGTCTACGGCAGAGGCACAGTATCTGCTATTGGCCTTTAGTGTTCCTGCAATTTTGAGTTAAGATGATTTGCTGATCTGTGTCAAAAGATAATATAGACTTACTACGTGTATACCTGTTTCATAGGGCATCTACTGGGAGGAATTCCAGCTTAGTTGTTAGGAAACAACTGAGGGCATAGTTTATTGCCTTGGAATCAGACCAATCAGGTGGCTATCTTCCCTGTGGTTCCATCACGGTCAAGCTAGTGAAAAATGAAACAACTGTACTGTTAACAGATCATCCTGTTCTATTGTTCCATTCTTAAGTACAGCAGTATGAGAAATCCACATGTATACTTAAATCTAAAATTAAGCTATTCTTTTAAATATTCTTTCATAACTTAGTATTTGTGCTAATGCCTAACATGTTAAATAGTAATAGCCACAGAAAGCTACATTCCTTATTTAGTCATGGTTGCAATTCATTAATATCGCATTGGAAAAAGTTTTTTTCTAGTCTTAAGACAACCTTTCACACACTCAACAAAGTAACCAGGGTTGGGCAGGTGTATCTTATATAATGCAGGACAGATAAAACTTGGAGCAAAAGTATCTTTTGACACAGATCAGCAAATCATCTTAACTCAAAATTGCAGGAACACTAAAGGCCAATAGCAGTGCCACTGCTGTAGACAGAAAAGTATCTAAGCTCTTGCTTTCCAAAATAACTCTGAACAGTTCTAGGATTATAGGTATGTGCTACCACACCCACATAAAACTATTCACTAACTATCTTAATGAAAAAGTATACCTTTGCTTAATTTATTGACCAGAAAGAAACATTTCCAAGGATTTGGATCCTACATAGTATTAATAGTATCAATGACATATAATTCTAAGAATTTCTAATTATTTTTAGGGCTGCTTCAGTGAATTAAAGAGAATTGTTTAGATTTTTTTCCCCAGTATTTAAACTGCACCATTCCCTATCTGTTTAAGTCCAATGCATTTTGAGGGTAGAAGAGGCTGCTGCTTTACAAAGGTAGGGGCTCGTAAGGAGTGCTTTTCAGGTGGCCACGCATTTGTAACTAATAATTGTTGTGTAAGACAGAAATTCTCAGGGCAGATGTGAGCATGAAGCTGCTTTTGGGCTTGTTGTACTGAATCTTAAGTGCAACATGCAAAGGCTGATAAGATATCAATTAACAATATACCTCAATATTTGTTTTGCAGTTTTAAGGTATATTTATGTTAGATCATTGGTTCATGAAAATAGCCTGTGAAGTAGAAACAAATGGGCATTATTGTATCTGTCTGATACATTATAAAGCTTGGAGATGTCCCTTACCCAGGGTTATATGACTAATAACCAGTAGCCAAATTTATATTCAGTTTATAGTCTTTTCATTATTCGTTTGGCTGAAGGAAACTGACTTCAAGCTTTTTTCTTGATAAATCCAGATTCTGGGTTACATCATTTTTACCAGGAAAAGTCTTAGATCTAGGGCTTTGCTGCAGAATCTGTCTCTCATTCTAAGTACAGTTTGCATGCACACTGATGCCAGTACTATACACAGTGACCATTCAATTAAGAAGGATAAAGATACAGGTAGATAACATCTCCAAGATGACACTGCTTTGTATAAAATGCTGCCCACAGCTAACTTCTCTCCAGTGGCACCACCACAGAAAGGGACAAGAATGACAGGAGAAACAGGGACTTAGTGGTTGGAAAGTCTCCTAAAAGCAAGCTTCTTAGGTCAACACTAAATAGTTCCCCAGGATATCAAATATAGTTCCTACTTGCTATAGTAAGTAGCTCAGAGAAATTTCCCTAAACCCTGGGTTTGCCTGCTTGTAAGAACTGAGAATCTAATTTGTGCAATAGATAACCAATGTTCAAGGTTATTGTTGTCAGGCTACAGGAAAAACATGGACTCTGGGGTCAGAACTGCTTGAGGTTTTGTATTTGGAATAATGCCACAAAAGCCAGTTCACCTCTCTCACACTTCCCTTTTGTGCAAAATGGCCCTTATTTAGCATTCAAGACATATCAATTACTGTGTGGAGTTTCAAATAAGAGCTACAAAGACTAGTGGCATGGCCTTACTATGTTTAGATCATAGTAATACTTGAATAACGTGGATAGTTAATCTCTAGTGGTTTGAAAGATACCTGTGAGTCAAGCCAGATAGTATTCTATCAGAAGGCAAATACTGGGGTATTATGGAAATTTTTGCTGTTATGAGCAAGGTATGGATTGAAAATTTCTATGAACTCACTTACATATTAAAAACATTTAGTCATTGTATTTGCAAACTTACATTTATTTGTAATCTATAAGCATGTACATATCATCCGTACCTCTGACTTAGCTCCATAAAAGTTAACACTTACGAAGGCAGTATAAAGATCATGTTAAGATACTGTGTAGTTTAAAGGTTAAGGATCAAATTAGAATGCTTTGTTCTCAGCAGAGATAGCTTATTTGTCTCCAGTGAGCTTCTAATTTTTCTATATATAGGCACAATAATAAATATTCTATGAGAATGTTTCTTTCGTTTTGTGTGTTTCTCTAATTAAGAAGATTGCAGACTTAAGAAGATGCCAAAACTATTTTGTCCTTACATTCCTAGAGGAGCTCATTCACAACTTATAAATAGACATATTATCTTTCCATTATTCATACTCGTTTCCGTCCTCTTTTGTTTACAGACATACATATGTGTGCATGCAGACACACACACAAACAACAACAAAAATCTTGAGATTTGTTGGGTAACAAAATTAATGTCCTCTTCTGGTCTGCTTATATTTCCAGGGCTGCCATTAAATGTAAAATGAAAATCACTCCACTCAGTAAGTAAACAAGGTTTGTCTATTACAGACCATAATTCTTTATCGAGACTAATAATGTAGTTTTACTTTTTACAGGAAATGGAACCCAAAACCTCGACAAATGGATGCAAGTGTTCGGAATGGCTCTCAAATGGGCAGCACTGAAAATTGATCTGCTTCTTTTCAATTGCATTATTCAGAGATGACATCAGCAGCAAGGCTGCAGCCAATGCTGGCATGTCGCCCTTCCCATACCATAAATAAAATCACATTCGGAAAAAATACAATCAACTCTAGAGCTGCAACTTGAACCTCAAAACCTAATTAAGCAACTTTTACTAACTTTATTAATGAGGCCTGAACCAGATTCCATATAAGCACGCAGAAACCGACACTGATAAAGCATGACACACTGTGATAAGCAGTGTGTCATTCTAGAACAATGGTTTTCAATCTGTAGGTCTCGACCACTTTGTTCAGAAAACAAGATCACAGGGGTTGTCTAAGATCATCATAAAAGACAGATATTTGCATTCTGGTTCATAACAGAAGCAAAATTACTGTTATGAAGTAGCAAAGAAAATAATTTTATGGTTGGAGGATCACCACAACAAGAGGAGCTGTATTAAAATGTGGCAGCATTAGCAAGGTTGAGAACCACTGATCTAGAAGAAAAGGTAGACTGTTGGTGGAGACAAATCTTAGACTATCTATTCATGATTTTGTTTATTATCCCTTTTAGCTAACTAAAACCCTAAGCGGAACTTATCATCAATGCCACGCTCTTTGGACCTCTTTAGACAGCCCAACTCCATCTCATCAATCAAAAAGACATCATGCCTCTTTACCTGGGGGATTATGCTCATTGAGAATCACAAGGGATGCTGGTGTTGGTCTTCTTTTCCTGATCTGTGAATAGCAAAGGCCAAGCTAATGTCAGTGTGAGAATCAGATGCTGCCCCTAATTGGCTCTACAGCTTGCAAAGCTGTCCACCCTCCTTTTTCCCTAATACACATAAGCAAAGTTCTAGAAGGAACACAGTATACGCTCACTATATATCTTAGAGCACAGGAAGCTATAAGAACTGCCGGACATTACTAACACCTTCTTTGACCACAAAGCTACATTTCCAAGGGAAAAATAGTAGCTGTATATAATCAAAAATGCAACTGAAATTAATATACTGTAAAATACAAAGATGGCTAACTTACTTGAGTGACTGTGATAACACCTTGTGACATTGGCAATGATATCAGGGTCCCTTGCTTTCACTAAATGAGGCAAATTTGGAAGCCTTAAATTTCTACTGTGGGTTGTAGTTTGATTGGCAATGTCACTTTGGATTTCAGTTAGTATGGTTAACTTTTAACTTTCTAACTTAATATTCATACCAAATTGGCAGGTCAACCAAAATGCAGATGTTATAAAAATGTGTATTGTAATTCCTTCAGGCAGTGTATTACAAATAATAAAAGGGAACAAAGATGAAAGAGAAAGGATATATTTATGTCAATGTATAGGGGGGTTGGGATAGATATGATTAAGATATATGTATCGTGTGTGTGTGTGTGTGTGTGAAATTGTAAATACATACATAAAAGTTCCTCAAAAGCGTAGAAGAAAAATATATACGTTTAGTTTAAACTACAATTTGGTGGATTCACCACTTTTTGATAGGAGTTACAGAAAAATATTATGATTAGAGTCTTCTTGCCTCAGATAGCCTTTACTCATTCAATGTATTTGTTCAATTAAATTCTCAGTGTATTTGCCAACACAATAAAGAATAAAGTGTGTGGATGATGTTCAAGATGAAACAATGTTCAGCTCAGTAAACAGACACTGTCAAGGTTATACTTATCTGGCCTGAATCTGGGCAGACCTAATGTGAAAGCATCATAGAAAGTAAGACTCACGGAGTCAATACTTATTTTAAAATCTTGTATAAACTATTTGGAAGAGGATTCAGGGGTCTTCTGGGTTTTAAGCAATTAGATTGGAGTTCTTATTATTTTCTTTGCTTATTCCTGAAGTACACCACATTTGATTTTGTGCCACAGAACCCTTTTAAATGGGTTCACTGCACCAGAGGCTAAGTAAATACGAACAATTAGAAACCAATATCAGACATAAAAAAAGGAATCTAAGAAAAAGTAAAATAATGTTTTTTATATCAAGTTCTTATATAATAATGGGCAAAGGACATGAGCAAAATGGTTTGGGATACACAATAAAACCACATTAAAAATGGACATCTATAAAACTAAATTAGTTTGGGATTTAATACTTTAATTTTTACATTTCTTTTTGTTTTATAAATAACAAAATAAAAGATTGTTAGTTTTGATGAAGTTTTACAGAGCTTCTCTAAATGTTGAAAGTATTACTTTAGAAAGCAAAAGCCAGCACCAGACCGGAATGTCTAACACATTGGTCTAATTTTCTATAAAATTAAGTGCTGCTAAACATTTTAGCCAATTGTTCTCCAGTGCACCCCAAACACGAGTGCAAAAGCAAACTCTTTTCTTATCGTAAAAGTGACAAATTTAAGCAAATGTAGAAAGCAGAGAACCTTTCATCTACTAAGAATGCATGGCCTTACTGCCCAGTACCCAGGACTCACTCCCCCACCCGCTCCTCCTTACCTGCTCCGCTGCCTCTGGAGCGATCTGACTCTGGAATAAAGGCACAGCAAATTGTATCTTTTTGGGGCTGTTGGGCTCCATGCTAATGATGAGACTAAGACAGAGCAGTGAAGCACTCAGAAAGACAGAGCTCAAGTGCTATCCAGAGTGTCTCCCGAGGCACCCTTCACCAAGCCACACAGTGCTTTGTAATAAATCTCTGTAATTCCAGCGTGAGCAAGTGAAGATGTCGAAGTCTGAGCAACTCCCTTCTTCAAAATGCAGTGATGCCTGGCTTGCCTGATCCACCACCAATCCTTTGGATCCTCTCAACACAACACGGAAAGGAAGAATAAGCTAATTGTGTCCCTGCTCACTAATACACATGCCAAGCTTTCACTCAGGAGCTAATTGAAATTGCAATGCTAGCCTTGAAGGACCTGCTGCCCTGGGATTTAAAAGAAAGGCTCTATCCACTGTACATTACTAACCGGCTGCTCAAAAGTGCAGTGTAAGCTCCCTCTGAGCATTACAGGGATGGGTCATTCATTATTGATGAACATAAAGCAGGAAGTTTTTAGAGTGGGGGGCAGGGCTGGGTATAGAATCATGTCATTTCTTTGTAGCAACTTACAAGTCAGACACCTTTGCTGTTACATGCTCAACCACCACATCGATGAATGACTAGTGACAATAAGCCACAACTAGTAACATCAGCTATGTTTGTGCTTCGAGATCTGGAGAGGTTAGTTCTGCCCCAGGGCTGAGGAGATCTCTGTTCAAGTGCCACTGTTAGTAAGCTCTGTGGCCTCCAGCAAACCACAGCATATGTTTAGGCCCCCGCACTTTCAACGGAGAAATGGGGGAGTAAGATTAGATGACCTTTAAGCTCCCATTCTGTTCTAACCTTCTAATTGTAGTTCATGGTTTTCATTTGAGTGGAAAGTATTGAGCAGCTAAATTTAGCAAAGAGCTTGGAAGTCACTGCTGTTTCAATGGCCTTTATTTTAGTTCCTGATCGAGCCAGTTACATCCCCTGACTTGGAAGAATCCAGAAATGAGTGGAAAACATGAGTGGAAAGCCAATGATGCCTGACACTGTGGCTTGGTGTCAATTTTGGGGTTTATGCAAAAAGATGAAGATTTGAGGAAAAGCCTAAGAAGGCTCATCTTCAGAGAACCAGTCACATGGATGTGGTCACAGCAGCATGAGGCACTGGCCTGATCATCTCAAGTAACCTCAAACAGGAGATGGCCACATTGACACAGCTTGCCTTCCTATACTTCAATGCTTATTGAAGAAAGCCTTGAAAATGAGCCCGCCTCCATGGAAAAATGAACTTGCGCCTTTTACTTTTGCATTTGAAAGATGTTATTTGATGACTACTAGATTTTAGAGTACAGTTTTCAGATTCATTAAATGCATTTTAATACTGTCTGCAATAGGAGATATATTCAAATGAAGTCCCTTTAATTTCAAAAGTCCCTTTATGTAACAGAAACACATTTCAGTGATTCAGCCATACAATGTTCTGTTGGACGCATATAGAAATTAATATCCATTATTCAAGTTGTTTCCTATATACACTAGAGGAAGAAACAAATGAGGATACTGATGGGAAAGTAATTTTAGGTAAGAGTAATGCTGACTAGCAAGAAATCCTGTAAAGGGCTCATCTCTACAGAATAGAAATGAAATTTACCAATAAAATATTCTATAGCAAAAATTAAGGAAGACCCTAGTAAGAAAACCATCATAAATCAATACCATTGATAAAGTTACTTTTCTGACTATTGGTCAAAATTCTACAAAATGGAAAGGCAGACAATCTTTGTAGTGAGAATTTAATCCAGAACTTTGCTCAGCACAGCTATTAAGAACTTGTATTGGTAGCCTCAAACTCACAAGTTGAACATCTCGGGCCACAAGAGAATGTTTTGTTTTGGTTTTTTTTCCCCCTGTAAGATTTAGGTGAGTGAACACCTAAAAAGAGCTGCTCATAAGGCCAGCATTTCTGCAGCAGACATAAACTAGACTTTTACTAGAGTTTTCAAAGAGCTTAATTGTACATATTTTAGCATGAATTACTACTAAGAATGTCTACCTATTTGGAAAACTTAATGCCAGTAAAAGGAATAGAAGATAAAGTGAAGTTCTGTGTATATATATTGTAGGATGAAGACCAGAAAGTGTGTATGTATGTTCATATAGTATGGGCAGATTTTGGGTGTGTGTATGTATGCATGAATGTATGTATGTATGTATGTATGTATGTATGACTATGTGTGCATATGTGCACACATGCATATAAACTCTAGGAATGGCATTGAGTGTCTTCCTAGATGATGGTCTACTTTATATATTGAAGCAGTCTTCCACTTGATCATGGTGATTCAACTAGTCTAACTAGCCATCCTGTTCCAGGGATCCCCATCTTTGCACTCCAGACTCTGAGAGTACAGGCCCACCATCTCACTCACAAGAACTTTACATAGAGGCTAGATAGGGATCTGAACTCTGGCCCTCAGGATTGCTTAGTAAGTACTTTACACGGGAAGCCATCTCACCTTTTTAATGGTTTGAACAGAGATAGTATCTTAAAGAAACTTCCTGGACCTTTTAAGATTGTTATTTTTTCATCGGTCCAACCAACCTTTGCATACCCACGGGCTCATCTTAGAGGCATTGCTTTTAGGAAAAGGTTATAGATTTGTTGCACCCAAACAGGGGTGCATAGGCACAGGGGTCAAACCATCTCTCTCGTCAACATGGAACACTCAGTATACCTCCACTTAGCATGGGCACAGGGGTCAAACCATCTCTCCCATCAACATGGAACACTCAGTATACCTCCACTTAGCACAAGATCTACCGTCTCTCTATTAATTATTTAACAGTTTGAAAACCTATTCACACAGCATTCCAATGCACTTTCTGCCAGGCTTTTTGCTCTGGCATTAGAAAAGAGACTGTGTTAAAAAAAAAGTCTCATAAGAAATCCTTTTAAAGCTAAATGGTTGAGCCTAGAGACTTGGCTATGCAGGTATGAGAACTGAGAATTGGTTTTTTTAGTATAAATAAGTTAGCTCACAACCATCTGTAACTCTAGCTCTAAGGGATCTGATGGCTCTTCTAGTCTCTAAGAGTACTGCAAACATGTGGTGCAGAGATATATGTTGTAGAAATTTTTAATTCCAATCCAGAGTTTCTACCCAGACTTGACCAATTTTTTTCTAGTTCTGAAAAAAAGACACACAACTTTTATTATTTACAATAAGCCTTAAGCAGCATAAGAGCTGGGCAGATATCTACCCTCTATGCCATTGGAATCTACTTTCCTATTGATAACTCTGAGTTATTGCTTACTATGTTTAATCTGGGCTGTTCTTAACTCCAATTGGCCAGTCCTTAGGGCCACATTTTTATGACTCACCTAACCTATAGTGGCGTCTCCTCCTTTCACTGTCTTCTCCCTCATTGATTCTACTCAAACCCCCAGCCTAGGAATTCTAAGCCTTGCCTATGTCTCTTCTGCACAACTATTAGCTGTCAGCATCTTTATTTTCCAATCAGAAATAACTTGGGGGCAACATCACATAGTGTTGCTTGGGTCTACTCTCTCCTCTTTGGGGCAACCAGGTCTTGGTGGCCTCACTTAGCATTACAAAACACAGCAAAAGACCAACCCTCAACAGATATTCATGCAGTAAAAACACCCATACATATAAAATAAAAATAAATAAACCTTTAAAGCTAAATTGTTAATCTAAGAGTCATATACATGTAACTAAATATAAAGTAATTGGAAAAAATCAATATGACATTTACCTAACACTAAAGTATATGCACAAATCAGTGCCTCTGAATTGATAATAATAATAATATTATTATTATAATTATCATTTAATAATAATATCATTATTATTATTATTATTATTATTATTATAAATAAAGGTGTCCCTTGCATGGTAACTGCTTTATCCATGTACTATACTAAATGCTATTTCTATATTAATTTATTTTATACTGATACTGGCTATTGCAGTTTATCCTATTGCCTTCCATGCTTTTCATTTCAAATGAGAAAACTATGAAACTAAGAGTTTAGAAGATTTGTTTAAAGTTCTTCCATTTAATAAATGGCAGATACATTTTAAATCCAAGCCCTAGATTTTTATCACAAAACTGTTATTGTCACTATCTAATGCAACAGTCTTTGGAACAGTTGGTGGAAGTCACCAGAACCTCTACAACCACCTTTTATCCCAATACATGATCTCCATGGCACATGAGTTAAGAGAAGAAAATGGCATGTTTTCAAGATATTGATCACCATGAAGATCATCTAGAGAGTTGGGTGTTGTGCCCTAAGTTGACTAGGAGACAAAATGTATTTTTTTCTATTTTAAAATAAGGGCAGATTTTATAAATAGAGACATGAAAAAAATAAAATAACCCTACAGTGTCTTTTCAAAGTACTACTGTGAGTATAAACAACAAACAGAAAATGAAACATGGCCCTTACTCATTTTTATTCCATGTTGTTAGCCTAAACTCCAAGATTCCTTAAAATCATCTCACTGGCTACGTCACTGGTCACTATGTGCCTTCTCCTATTGGCCCTAGAAGATTTCCTAGCCTGCCTTCTATATTTGTATCATATAGATTCATCTTCCAATTCTACCTACTCAGAACGGGGTTTCAGATTCAAAAAGTGAAATGAACCCTCGATAACTTTCTCTCCTGGTATTTAGTTGTATATAGTTTTATGTTACTGTACATTTTCCCCCTTTAACCATGTATACATACTTACATTCTACTTTTAAACACAACAGAATCAAGATGTCAATTTCTTCATTACATAAGACCAGTTAGGCTCCACCTTCATTATAATGAAAGTAAATAGAAAAGATTCCAATAAAATTAAATTTCAGTTCATATTTAATTACCATATTTTATAAGTTTTATATTTAATGGCCACTTAAATACTTACATTTTCATGCCTTCTGAAAACAAGAGCATCAACCATAATTTACCCTTTGTTACTATTTTCTAGCCGTGTGTATTAAGATTCATGTAGTGTCATATCTACAAAATTGACAGTGAAACTGTTATTATTTCTTTTTCCATTGACTGCTCTCCAAGTACCACAAATATGTAGTTACTATAGGCAGCCATTTGTCACCTGATATATAGTAAGTTCTTTATTTGTGGAAAGAAGAAAAGGGAAGAATTTGGAGAAAAAGGGGGAAAATATAGAAGAGAGGGAGAAAGGAGAGAAAATAAGGATGCTTTTTCTATTCTTTAAAATTGTTCCTTATATATTCTTCTTTATAACTTTTGTATATTCTTGAGAATTTCACACATGTATATAATGAAAGATGATCATACACAGCCTGATTTTCTCCATACTTCTCCCTGATTTTAACCCCCTAAGGCATTTCCCTCCCAAATTAATGTCTTCCTTATCATTGTATACGCAACTATCTTCAGAA